ACATCACAATATGACATCACAACATGTAAACTAAAGAAGTCAGGGGAACAGAATATTTAAGGGAAAATAAATTTCACACAACAGTTTACCTTGTCCCTAGTTAGATTTAAACTCCACAAATGTCAAAGCACAAACCAGATAACTGAGTTATGGTGGCTTCCTATCCCTATCCAAAGGTCATAGGATAAAGTCCCCTGAGGCCCCCTGAAGTTAAAACCCAACTCTTCTATTCAATTAAATTGTTATATTACCTGACTTATGAACCTGAATTGGGATTGCCAAAACAATTATGGATAATATTTCATTTCTTTAATGCAATAAATAGAAGGACCCCAAACAACATGTTAATAAACTAGCAAACAACTGAAATGTTTAGCTTAATCTTGAGTTCAAAATTCACAATTATTAGGAAAAAAAGCAGCCTCGGCTGTAAAATAAAGACCATGTGAGAGTTTGGGAGAGACACAAAGGCAGCATTTTATCACCTGAAGAACATCTCTAGAATTAAATGTCTAAAAAATGTCTAACAGGATCTAGGAAATCTTATTCATGCATTTATCTTTAGTATAACTGATTACTGCAACAGTGTCTTCTTAGGTGTTGGAGCTTTTTTATTTTATCTTATCCTACATTAACCTTTTTTATTCTTTCTATGATCTTTATTAGACTCTGGGGAAAGTATTTCTTTGCAGGTGCCAGGAACTGAATGTTTTTCATAACTCAAGGTCACTGTCTGCATAAAGAAATGTATGTGCATCATTGTATCACGCTGCAACTTACTCCCCACAAATTCCTTGAGTGTTTCGACGTGATCCATTGTAACTAGGGACTCCCTTTTTCCAATAAACAGCGTCGAAGACAGCAGAGGTGCTTCAGAGAGCGGTAGGAGTTTGTAACTGAGGACATCTTTGCAAGGGTCTCTTCCCACGGGTAAAAATAATCTAACGTCTCTTGTCCTTCTTCCCCAGGTTATTTGATAAGTGTTTAGGTGTTCAACCTTAATAACAGGTTTGCCTAAAAAGTCTATCAGACAGCTGCAGCTGATCCAAAACACTGCTGCCAGTGTTCTCACTAGAACTAAGAAAGTAAAGCACATCAGTCTGCTTCTGAAGTCCTTACACTGGCTCCCTGTAGCTCAGAGAATAGACTTTAGAATCCTTCTTTTAGTCAATAAATCGCTGAATGGATCAGGACCTCAACACATAACAGATTTGTTGTCAGTGTATCAACTACCCAGACCACTAAGGTCTTCTAGTTCCAAAACATGGAGAAGCAGTATTAGTTCCTATGTGGGGCGACAGTGGCGTTGGACGTAGGAGTTTGCCCTGAAATTGAAGGATTAACAGTTCAAGCCCCGACTCCGACTTTCAGTGTCGTTGTGTCCTTGGACAAGACACTTCACCTGCATTGTCTACTGATGGTGGTCAGAGGGCCCGGTGGCGCCAGTGTACAGCAGCCCCGCTTCTGTCAGTGAGCCCCAGGGCAGCTGTGGCTACAATGTAGCTCGCCACCATCAGTGTGTGAGTGTGTGCGTGAATGGGTGAATGAATGTACAGTAGTGTAAAGTGCTCAAGTCTCCTGACTTGAATAAAGGCGCTATATAAGTACATGGCATTTACCATTTACCATTTCTATGCTCTGCTGATCTGGAACAAACTCCCAGAAAACTGTACAAGTTCTGAAAGCCTGAGTTCTTAAAGTTATAAACCCATTAGTTTAGAGCTGTCTTTGACTGTTGAAGTTAAACAGCTAACTGGATAATACTTTAAGGTTGTGATTCAACTGTTTTACTTTCTTTGTGTTTTTTTACTCGCTTTTGTTCTGCTTTTTTTTTTTGTCTAATTGACTCATTTGTTTTAAAAATGTTTTTGCTTTCATTATGTTGTTTATTTTTTATTTTATAATCAAATTTATGTAAAGCACTTTGTCTATGTACTGAATTGTGCTATACAAAGAAAATTACCTTGCCCTGCTCAAGAAATCTGAAACACAAACATATCTAAACCTAGTTTACAACATAGACTCTTTATCCCAGGTACAATGCTTCTCTCAACTTTCCTGGGTGAAGCAAGGAAGGGATTCGGTTATTATCTGTGATCCATTGCAAACTTTGCATTTCCTATGGAAATCAAGCTCCTAGGACGACTGGGGACATAATCCAAGTTGTTTAAGGTTGAGTGCAAAGTGTCCACTGTCAGCAATGATCTGGGCTGCCATGTTATTTGTTTGCGCATGAAATCCACAGTCAACACAGCCATCTAACAAGAGCTCTTAGCGCCTTTAATGCAGAATTTTTTTTAGCTGGATTTGACACCTGCTTAAACAACAAAAAATAAAAAACATTGTTTGATTTCCACTGTATATGCTGTATTATTGTGCTTACCTGGTCAGCATACTGGCCAGACATAAACCATTTGGAGAATCTAAAACTGAATTTTAGGTTTCCATTACCAGAAATGCATTATTATGAAAACAAACTGTAACAACTGCTTGAATTAAATAATTCACAAAGGCAATCCCATAAAAAAAAAATACCAAAACCCTCCAAAAAACAGAACCCTAAAGAGAAGCCATTTCTGACAGAAGTGAAGCTGAAATTAATGTGACGGAGAAAACGAAGCTCTGAAAGTTTTGCTAACATTAGTGATGACATTTACGATTTGAAGCTGCAACAAGCTCTCCACATTTAAAGATTAACTTAAATTACACCTGAAAACCCATCTCTAAGACGAGCCATTGGTTGAAAACTTCTAGAAAACCACAAGAAACTTCAGGAACAAAAAAAAAAAAAACCGCAATATAGCTGAGCCACAGACTTTACAGCAGAGCTGGGGGAATACAACACAGAGGTGTTAACGAAGCTAAGAAAACAGTCACATGGATACTGCTGTAAGATCACAGCAAAAAAATGTCCAGATCCTTTCTCTGTGTCTTCAATAAAGACCCCATCGCAGACTACTTGGATTAACTCGTTAAAATGAGCTAGAAATCCTTGTAGGAACAGTTCTACAAATCCAACAGGTCCATAGAGCTGTTGCACCAAAAACAGAGCCGAAGAGTTCAACCACAGTAATCATAGTAAGTTTGTAAGTTTGAAACTAAAGAGAAAATTTGAGCATGTCTACCCCACTGAAATTGTTCAAAAACATGAAACGTGTGTGAGTAACAAGAAAATAGTGAAAAAAAAAAAAAGTAAACGGTTTGTATTTTGTTTTTTTTTCTTTGGTGGTGTTAGAGTTCTGGTTCTGTGATGTTTTTTCTTTTGGATGTTCAGTTTTGCTTTGCTCCTTGTTTTCTAATTTTTTATGGTTTAATACTTATTTTTTATTGTGTTCTTTGCTTTTTTTCTCAGTTTCTGTCTTCGTTTTGGTTGTGTTATATTTTCTTTTGAGTATTCAGTGTTACTTTGCCCCATGTTTTCTAGTTGTAGTGGTTTAACTCTTATTTTGTTGTGTTTTCTGGTTATTTTCAGTTCTCAGGTTTTTATTTGTTGCCCTCTGCTGCCCTCTTGAGTTCTCCTTTTTTTTCACTTGCCCCTTTCTTGTTTCTGCTCTGCTCACACCTGCTCCTAATCGGCTTGTTAGGTCACCCTTTGTTTCAGTCTCCTATAAATACTCCCTCTGTGCAGTTCTTCATTGCTGGTTCCTCGTCAAATTCTATCCAACTCCGTCTCTCTGAGCCTTCCACCTTGTGATAGTAATCCACTGATATCTCCATGGTTTCTGGTTTGTTTTGACTTGTTTTGATTTTTTGGATTACTTGCCTCTGTTTTCACTAAACCTTCATTAAATCACCAAGTAATTCACCTCTGACCTTCTGCCTCTGCTTTCGGGTCAACAATCCATAACCAAATCATGACAGGTTGCACAGGTGCTCAGATCTCCCCCACATCTGGGGTGATTACTTAGGGGTGCGGCCCCTTGATATTGTAGGAGATAGGATTGTACCCAACAAGGCAGTTGGGTGAGGAGGTTTGGCAAACTTGTTAGTTGATCTTAATTTCTAACCTTTTGGAAAAGATAAAGAAAACGCAAGTGGGGCTCATGATGGCTTCTTGGAGACCACAGTTTTAAAAGAGTCGCTACAAAGTCTTTAAATGAAAAATGAGGAATGAAATAACAATTAAAAGTTGTACTAACCTACAAGATTAAAGAATATTATGCTTTACATAGACAGATCTGTTCAATATACTGTAGTTGCTTGTTGTGTTAAAGAATACCAGTAAAGACTTCAGTGTAAAAAACACAAAACTATCCTAAATAAGGCTGTTTTCTCCATGGCAAATGAGGTACACTTTAAAAAAATAGTTAGGTCACCTTAAAATCAATGCAAATAAAAATGAAGAAAATCATTCTTAACAACATTATAAATAGATATATAGATATAGACAGATTTATTTGTCATTTTGTGTACACAATTGTAAAACAAAAAGAAATTTCGTTTGGAACAGCTCTCTGGACAATTTCATCTTTTTTTTAAAGTGCAGCCTAGAAAAATAGTTAAAAAATAAATAGATAAAAATGAATATATAAAAACAGTAATATAAATATATGACTGTAAATTTACAGTTATAACTTTTTTTTTTTTTTTTTTTATCAACCAGGACCATTAATAGAAGCGCACGCCTTGTTTGGAGGATTTGGTCCTTGACACAGGCGTTGTAGTTCCATCCGATGTTAGCTGAATATGTTTCACCTCACTCTAAAACCCCATTATCTGCCAAAATACTGTCAGACAAAGGTCATGAGTGTAAACAACAAGACAAATACCGGGAGGCTGGCCACAAACATCCAACACTTTTTTACTTAACAAGGCTTGGACACACCCATTCACTTAACTGCAAAATCTTTTTAGAGCAACATAATTAGAAATATTCAAACCAAAAGTTTAGGAAACTGTTACAGGTATGTATTAATTTAAATGTTTAAGACCTGCTTTGTGGTACAACTGTTCATTTTACATACAGTTTTTATCTTTTCATCACGTTTACTAAAATTGCTGCTTAAGGTGGCTGCAGGTTGGAGTAGCTCTGCCAGCTGGACTGATATTCTTTTTTAAGAGAACTTAAGTTTATCAGTTTGTGGATCAAAGTTTCCTTTTTCTGTTGTTTTTTTGCTTCTGGTTTTCAATGCTGTGAAACTGGAAGGATTTTTATTAATATTTAATTTTTGGATAGTTGTTATTATGGGTAACCATAGTAACCATAGCAAATAGATTTTTTTTACACACTGGAGCAGCTCTTTAACACCTCTAAAGCTGTCGCTAGTACCAGCTGAGTCGAAAAGGAGGCTCTGAGGATGCAGAGCAGGAAGAATATTGATTTGTTTTCCAGATGCTTCATAAAAGCATTTGCATTTTGGAGGTTGTTCTTTTTCTGCAGTCATATTCCGTGGAACCATGATTTTCCCCTGTGGAACCAGTTCTTAGATATTTTTCCAGAGGAGGCCTCTCCTACTACACCCTCTGTTATGAAGGTTGATCAGAAGTTTGACTACTTGCTTTTGAGTTTCTCTTTCACTTCCTTTATTTGTCTTAGCAATTATAATTCCTCCACACACCCACGAGGTACATTACAAATTGTTTGTTAGGACATCTGTTTTCTGCTCAGTTACTGCCACTTTGTTGGCCGTCCTCCAGGATCCTGCTAATTTCTATTAGAGAACTGAACTGCCAGGTCACCAACTTGATGATTGATACGATCTAAAATGTTTATATACATGCTTTTTTGGTTATCATCTTCCTCTGGTTCCCTGAGGCATGAAAACACCACACTTCTCAGATTTTAATTCATGAAGTACTTTTAAAATCACTTTTATTTTTATATGTACTTAATTCCACCTTCTTTATATTTTGGTGTGTCATGTATTGCACAGACCTTAGTGCAAAGCATGATGTAGCTTCTCCACATTGGGCTTTATAGTTCTGCTAACTTTGAATCTGTTTTCATATATGGTGTAAACGTGTTTGTGTGTGATAATAAAAACATATTTTTATTAAATGATTTTGTAATTATGCTTTTTACTACAAATAGATTATATTTTTTCATGTGTACACTTTGCAAAGTTTGCAATGTAGGGCCCACCTTGTTAGTAAATCCATCAGCAGCTATCCCTGTCACTCTCTGTGACTTCACAATTGACACTGTGGAGTCTTTCCCCTTACTCCTCCATCATTGAGTCCTTACTCACCTCCTCCACCACCAAATGGTACACTGGTGTCACCTCCAAGGACAGAGCCAGACTGCAGCGTTTCATCCAGTCTGCAGAGAAGATTATTGGCTGCAATCTTCCATCTCTCCAGGATCTGTACAGGAAAGATTGTGGCTGATCTTTCGCACCCCAGCCACAAACTTCAGTCATGACCCTCTGGTAGGAGGCTGCGGCACATCAGGACCAAAACCTCATGCCATAAGAACAGTTTCTTCCCATCCACTACCAGCCTTATCAATAAGGCCCAGAGACCCCAGTGACACTGACACTGGCTCCCCCGTTCAGGACCTAGAAGCTACACTAACGTACCATCTCCAGACCTTCTGTATTACATTAACGCACAGCCTACTGTGTACAGTATACAGTATATAGCATCGTGTATGTTTTATATTGGATATAGCTATAGATTCGATATTCTGTATATATATCTAATTTGTCTGCAGCATCAACACCAAGTCCAATTCCTTGTAAGTACAAACCTACTTGGTAATAAACTTGTTTTGATTCTGAAATACAAACAAAAGGCAATTGTATGGATATAGAGTATTATAGCTGCTTCCTAAGAAAATGTAGGATGGAAAATGATTAGATGAGTTGCTAATGTGGATATTTATGGCAGAGTTAATCCCACCTATCCTTTGAAGATGGACAGATAAAATACTGGGGGTGTTCTGGGTTCATCCAACTGAACTAGTGCCTGTGGCATTTTTATTTTTATACGCTGTTTTTGGAGTTGACTGCTTGGTTAGTTGTATAATGATCCAGTTTTATTCTCATTATCAGTTCGTATGAAATCGTACTGTGCATAATAATTCTCAGATAATGAGAATATGTTGAATCGGCCCATTTAGGAAAAAGTAACAACAGTTCTACTGATTTTTAAATGTAATATTTACAGGAACTAAATTAACTGCAAACCATACTGAGGCTGAAATCAATGTATTTAGTTGTGCGTAAAAACTTCCTCTGTGTAATATCCAAAAATAGTAAGCATTAAATAATGAATTATGTAACCTATTCCTATCTGTAAACAGTCCTTTTTTTATGGTACAACAGTATCAACAGCAATACTACAACCAACCACATGTCCATGACAAACAGGCTGAAAAGCTTTTCAGTCCCGCCAGAGGTATTTCTATAAGGTGCAGCTGCTGGGTTTGTACAAGAATGGTTGTGTTGAAACTAGTGATGCCCTGAGGATTGCTCACTGGAATTACTGTAAAAGACTGAGAAGTTAGATGAGCTTTATTGATCTCACAGCGGAGAAATTCACTAATTCACTAAGTTGCCCCCAATTCTGCTGTCCTAGAGGACACTGGACTTAAAAGTAAAGTTGTTAAATCATTTTTATGTAGGAAATGAAAAAAATATGACAAGGTAATTGTCACTCATTATGAGGTCTGTGAAACTCTTGAATAGATGATAAAAACAAGTTAAGCCAAGAGCAACAAATGTGTCACAAAATGAAATCCTGCTCCCAGGTTTCCATAAGCAGAAACATGTTTGCTATATCTCTGTATAAAATCTGTGTTCTGGAACCAAAATTAACTCATTCCTTCATGAATTCTATATAAACAAGGCCAAATGTTGCCTGGAAAATTATCTTGCACCAAAAAGCAGCAAGATTATCTGTTGTCTGGCTTGTGAATCCTGCGTAGAAGTGTCTACAGTTGGCTGAGCATACAAAAACTTTTCAAAAAATGTCTCGAAAAAACATATAGTTAGATCTAAAACAGGTTTCTTTATTTTTTGTCATCATATCATATTCAAAATTATCTCTGACACTTTAGAGATATTTTAAAAATTAAAAACATAGTTGTTGGGGTCTTTCATATAAAAAAGAGCTATAATTATTCTCCTTTAAATTTTAATTCCAATTCTTGTGAATTCATTCAGTTCCTTGTAGCATGGAAGAGTCCCCATCGCTGATCTCCACTTTTAGAGCGTTCCAGCTTTTCCCTCCATCCATTAACTATTGCAAAGTAGTCCTCCTCAGAAAACTCCTACAAAAGAGATAACAAAATAAATATGTATGTGATGCAGGTAATATGTTAGTTGTCAATTTAAACAGGAAAATAATGCAAACTAACCTGAATAAATTCCTCCTTTATATTCTCTGCTCTCTGCAGCTCAGTCTGGATCACTTGGATGAACTGGGAGGTTCTGTCCTGGACCTGAACATTGCAGAAACCAGCCTCCTGAATGAACTGCATTAGAGAGAGGGGGAATGAGAAAGTTTGTGAGGAGCGCCATCTGTTGGCATTTGTTTAGTATTACCTCACCTAAAGAAACCAAAATAAACTTGTATTTTATTAGTAAAACATAGTGGTATCACATGTCTGTCTAGAGTTTTTTTCCTCACAAAAGATGCAAAAGACTTTGGATTAAGCTCACAGTAATCCCAAACAGTTTTGGCTTCAGTGACCCCCTCATGTGTGTTTCCCCCCCCCGGCGTCTCCCGGTTTTGATTTCTTGTTTTTGGTTGCTGGATTTGTGTTTCTGTTTCCATCTGCATCCAAATAAATCTGCAAGAACTCATCTCTGCCTCCTCATCTCTGCATTTGGGTCCTCAACCAACTTCCATCCAACCCTGACAGACAGATCTTCCATTAGGAACAGTCAGAGTAATTTTCATTTTTTAATTTAGCCTTGATATAACAAGATTAACCTAACTGACCGACAGACCTGGCCAATAAGGCACAGTTCAAATAATCATTACTAGTTTATTATGTGATGATCAAATAGAAATGCCAATTTTGCAAATAGAATATAAACATCAAAAGCTAAATACTGTAAATTCACTATTATCCCTTTAGGCCATCTTCACATGGCTCTTATTTTGATGCCTGCTGCTTCTGGTAAACATTACTGCAGATATTCACACTCAAACAGGATAAATCTTAAACTTTGGTGGAGATATGTTCCTACAGCATACAGTAAGATAAGATACAATACAAGTTATCCACAGCTGAACTGTAGACAAAAATAAATAAATAAATAAATCACACATGTTCAACTGTTTTTGGCATAACTCAACATATTTAGATTGTGACTGCATTACTCTTCAAAGGTGAAAATATCGGTCTTCAACATTTTTTGAAGACAGGATAATTTTTCAACCATCAAAAACTAACAATTTATAAAATCTTTGGCAACATACCCTCTATGATTAGTTTAATAATTTGACTTCATGTATATGTTTTTATACCCCTGCATTTAGCTCTAGTAGCAGTCGATCACCCATTTCCTAAAAAAGTGATTAAGGATTTTTTAAATTTACAGAATTTTCATCCTAAATGTCATCACTATTATTTCAGATTCTTATTCAGTCAACAATGAAGAAAATAATTTAAAAATACAGTCATATTCTCATCACCTTAAACAACCAAATAATCTGAAACGGTTTGGCTGGTAGAAGGAAGCTTTACGTCATGAGTATAATAAATTTGTTGTAATGTTGCTACCCTGTTAAGAGTCGCTTTAACTGATACAGATGATGTGTCTTGAACTTTGACTTTATTGCTCCTTCTTTGCTGATGATTAATAGAGTCATTTAATTATGAATTGATTTAACTAAATCCTACAGTTCAAAGGTTTTGATATTACTGAGAGAACATAGCTGGGGAAGCTCTTGGCGAAAATCGATCTATATCCTCAATAGCTGGTCCAAGTGCTGCTATTCCTCTTAGTCATATTATTGGTCCCAGTCACATCAATAAGCAGATCAACAAACTAATGTACTATCAGGGAATGTTAGTTTCAGTTGAATTTTTCACTCATTGCTTTTGGAAAAGCCTTTTAACCTTTCACCTTTTATCTAATCAATACTTTATCTTTCTTTCTCAAACCACGTTTAAATATGTGGATGTTTGTCAGGAAAGCTAACTGTTCAAACATATTATTGCTGTTTGTGCAATAGGTAATGATAATGACAAAAAGGCATAGAAATAAGTAAAACAAATCTATTATGCATTAATAAGCTTATGAAATGGGTGTCAGAGTAACTAATTTATTGCCACCTTATTTGAAGCTTAGACAAATAAAATGGAAAAAACTTCAATTAAAATTGTAATAGATTTAAACTAGATCGCCAGCCCCGCTATGAACCAGATACAGTGGAAAATTGTCATATCTAAATGGCTTGGTTCAGCATACTGGCTTACCTTGCCGTACTCTGACGGCGTGTAGAGGATGTAACCTCTCTGTTTGACATAAGCTTCAAACACTGGAGTCCATGGTTTCTCCCCACAGCAGTAGTCACTAATTAGCAGCTGACCGCCTGGCTTCAACCAGGACTGGATGCAAGGAAGAAGAAAGATTACTGATGATAAGGAAAAACAGTTCTTTATTTAGTTATTTAGTTTTTCATATATGTCTCTCACAATAAACAGTAAATCAATCAATCAGTTTTTTAAATAATGAGATAAACACATCGCTTACGTGGAAGCGCTTGAAAAGGGCAAGTTTGTCATCTATGTGCAAAATTGTGTCTCTGCTGTAGATCACATCAAAGGAACCTTCAGGAAATGTCCTCTTGGTGGCATCTGCCACCTCAAACTGCACCTGAGGAAAAGCTGACAGCTTAGAGATGCATATAATCGCTGTTCAGCGGTTCAAACTTCTATCAACCTGAGTGTATATTCAATTGATAAGGAAATGGAAATAAATGTGATACTTACTGTTTGCAGTTTTTCTGTTTTTGCTCTCTCTAAGGCAATGTCTACCATGTTGTCTGACAGATCCAAGCCAAGCACTTCCACCCCAAACATCTAAAGAATAACAGAATCATTGCCTTACTTTTAGTTTTCCTAAACCAAAAATCAAAACCAATCAATGTTAGGCTGTCCCAAATGTACCTTTGCCATATAAAAGTCTCCTCCACCAATCCCACAGCCAACATCCAGAACCTTCTGTCCAGGCTTAAGGTTCAGTAGGTCCACAAACTCCTGGTGGGGTAATTTATACGTAAATAATTTCCTTTATTTAAAGCTAAAAGTCCCATCACTCTTGTAAAACACCTTCCTTATGTTATGCTAACATGTTTTCGAACACGCCTACATAATTCGCATGGCAAGATGAAGTGCAAATCACTTAAAAATATTCATCCCTTCTTACTTTATTAAGTAATGGCAAAAATTAAGACATTATTATATTTGATCATAAAAAAACATCTTTCCATTACTACTGGAAGCCATTTGCAATAGTAAAGCAATACTTAAACTGATGGCAATGCAATTGTTTTAGGAAACTTACAAATCTCATTACTTTACATAGATAAAGGCAGATTTAGAGTTCTTTTTATTTAGACATGCATTTCTAAACCTTATTAAAAACTGTTAATGATCAGTTTTGATGGGAAAAAGTAAGAAAATGTTTGTATTTAGATGTAAAAACGTTTAAAATTGCCATCATATTAGATATATACCCTTGTCAGTAATTATTGAATATGTATTTTTTGGAAGCATGAATCCACTGGCCTTTTGACAAATTTTCTTTTAAATTAGTTTCTATGTCTTTGTATTGTAAAGGCCTCCATCACCCTCTGCCTTTAGCTTGGTACAAGTATTTTCTTTCTGATTTAAACAGGGCCTTTGTTGGACACATCCAAAACATTACTATCCGGTTAGAAGATAGGGAATAATTAACATATTACAGTACTTTAAATCTAAGGCAGAGTTATGTCTGAACTGTATCAGCAGATATATGTGTTCTTGATAGTGTGTGAATTTTACCCCTTTTTGTTTCTTACCTTTGTAGTGCTGGGTCCACCTGTGCTAACATAACCAGACCCAAACATCTTTTCATAGCGCAGGATGCCTCTTCTAGTGTACTGTTGGTTGTCCAGGAACTGCTGGAATGTGCCGTAGCCGCTCTGGGCGTTTGAGGAGCGGGGGAGCTTCTGCAGCAGCCAGCACATCTGGTTTGGATTGTTTTTCATCTGATAAGGTGGACGTGAGGGGGATAAGAAGAAGGATATGTCCATATCATGAACCCCTTTACTGCTTTAACATGAAGGAACAATGAAATTAAGGAACTATCTGTAGATAAGATTCTAGAAGTACCTCAATATAAGTCCGAACTCTCCTTTTAAAGACAATGTCGAAACCAAAGTTTTGGTCCCCCTCTGGTGCTTCCACTTGTACTGAGGTGGCTAGGTGAGTGTACTGTGCTTCAGTGCGGTAACAGGTGGGGTTGAAATCTCTCTTGCAGTCACCTGTACAAAAAATGTAAAAATTATCTTTCTTTTGAATACCATATGTATTTTTTTTTTTAAATAAATGTAAATTCAAATAATAAGAAAAGTCATAATCCTGTTAGCTTAGCACCTGAACGGTGATTGCATGACTCTCTGAAGAAGAGAAAGCCACCAGGCTGCAGCCAGTTCAGCATTTTCTCCATGAAGGATTTTAGCTCCTCATCACTTAGATACATCAGCAGCCAGTTTGAGAAGATAAAGTTGACACTGAGGAAACAATTAAATAACTTACTAAAAAATTAGCCTCTTGGTGAGAAATTATGAATATATTGAGGTGATCACAATTCAATTTACTAAAATTGATTCCCAACTTATCAGTACACTTTACAGAAAACGGTAGAGATGAGTTTTTTTTTTTTGGGTAACAGTAATAGTAAAGGATCACTTGTTTCACCACTGATTCACAGTTTGAGACAAGATTTTTTGTAATCCAACTTGTTTAACCTTTAACTTGTCTGTTCTTTTCACACCTGTGCTGGGGGATGTCCAGCTTTGTGACATCAGCTTGGATAAAGGTGACGTTGCTATGGTGACCGTTGGTCTCCCTGTTCTTCTCCACAAAGCTTTGCATGAAGTCCACTGCGGTCACGTGGGTCGCTTTGGTCAGCAGGTGACTGGTGTAGCGGCTGTAGAGGCACATACAAAACTTTATCTTTATATTTATTTTGTTTATCTTCACAGATCAAGACCAAAATTTTGTGTAACGTGATTACTATTATCAAAACAATCTAAAATAGTATCTGAGATTCTTACAAGCTCACAAAAGAAAGCATGCTGACTCGCAGCAGGAGATTGGATATTATCACACAGCTTCTTAAATGATTGTCCTGCCTGTGTTTGTGAAATTAACAGTCTTGGCCTAAATCCATTTCTGTTTAATGATTGCTTTTCAAAATCTCACTTGTGTTTCTCCTATTTCTTTTATTTTTCTTATTTTTATTTTACCTCTTTGTTCCTTTATTTCCAAGAAAAACACCAACATTTATCATGTGTATTACTCATGATATACTCTACAAATAAACTCATTTGTATCCAAATTGTTTTAAAGTGTGCTTTTACCCACCCAATTCCTGCTCCCAGCTCCAGGACCCTGCATCCATCCAGGGGAGGCAGCATGGAGAGGATTTCGGGCAGCTCATGCTCAGTCAGCTCTTTGGCACGAGTATCCAGCATCATCTCCTCCACAGTGGCAGCCTTCGAGTGCTCCTTCCAAAACTCTGTCATGTTGCTACGTACTGTAAAGCAAATAGGGGAATAGGGAAGGAAAACAACTGTTAGTGTGGAACCTGAGGATTTAATAAAGGTTAGGAAAAATGAAAAACTAACAACAAAAACATGTTTGGGCAGATGTAATGGATTTTACTGCCACATCAATAATAAGTTAGTAATAAGTAGTAATTTTAACTACTGAACTCTTTCATGTGTCATAGGCTGTCGGCATGGGGAATAGAAATAATTACTTGTTAAAATCTTGTCGTTCATAATAAAAATAGATTATGTTTTCAGTTGAATTACTATATTTTAAACAGGCAGATATGAGCTGGAATCTTTTAACCATAAATCTACTCTAACGCTGTAGAGCACACAGATTAACCATTAATAGATTAGGTAATCTTAAAGCAGTACAGTGGTGCGCTGCACTCGCAGATGGAAATCCATCTGGATTTTGCTTACAAAGTTCTCATGTTTGAACTTACTAAGATAGAAGACGCTTTCAGAAATCATAAAATAAATTTGTGAAATTAATTCAAAGGGAAGATTTACAGCAGCATGTCTGTAATATTAGATAAACAAATGGATGAAAAATGAACTGAAAATAGACATGAAATTCTGACCATTGTTTACTTTGTACATAAGAACCCCTCTTAAATTATAATTATTAATTAATAATATCATTAATTAGCAGGAAAATCAGATTAATTCATTGTCTAAGAGAGCAGGGGACAACTACTTGTTACCACTCTAAACCTGACAAAGCTGGAAGGATGTTTTGGCAGCTCAATGATCCCAGGAGGATTATTTCCACCAGCTGAATGAACAATTCCTCCAAAACCACAAGAGGCAGCTCCAGCTGTATCCAAACTTTGGTGTCATCATTTCCATCCAAAGACAGCAGACCATTATAATCTCCTCATACCTTTTTCCATGGTGGTCTGTGGTTGATATGGTGCAGGATAAAAATTAATTCCCAATGTCCATTTAATAAGGCAGATAATGAATAATGTAGTCTCAAACTAGACTTTTTTATTACTTGCAGCCCCTCCCAGACAAAGTGCAGATTTCAGTTTGTGTGGTCGCTCTTTAAATAAAAAGGTCAAGTGGCGCGACTAGGAGGTGGTCTGCATTTGAAAACTGACCATTAGGATGCGCCCAATGCGACAGCAGGGGAGGGGATGCATATGAATAATCAAACAAGGACAAGGGTTCCTGTAGTGCCCGTGATTCAGACTTCCTAATAAAAAAAAAAAGAAAAAACACCTGTGATAGCTGTCAGCCTAAGGCAAAAAAAAGAGTCCCTGTGATGAAAACTTACCTCTCTTTTTGCTGTCGGTAGATCTGTGTGATGTTCTGCCTAACTGGTTTTGTCTCACCTCATGGAGGTTGTGCTGACACCAGAGGAAATGTCTCGTGGCATGTGTGAATTACGCAACATTGCCTCATCCAGCTCAGGCTCAGAGCCAGGACTGCTGCACTGAGCCGTGTGAGGTTTACAGCTGCAGAAGTTTCTTTATCTTTAGATTTCATAATTTTCAGCTCAAAGGATCGTTTACACAACCTGTTGTACGTAACTGTTCTATTTATAGATATTAAAATTCATTTAGTTACCAGATTGTGAAAATGCCTACTGTAGTTTTTCTCCTGAAATAAAAACAATACATACAGATTTAAGACACTTCTTCACATTTCAACCTCAAACCATATGTTTTCAAATGTATTTATTTTAGAATTTTATATGCAAGAGCACCAGAAGCTTGCCTAAAAATCTGAAACAGAAGGACAACATTCCCAACGTTTGAAATTTATTTTTTGATTTTCAAATTTGTGCAAGACACTCTCTTCTTGAGTCAGTATTTCCAAAAACCATCCAATTTTTTTTTATTTTTTTTTTAGCTCTATTCATCATCCAATCAGTGTTGGAGAGTCTCACTGGATCTGCCAAATAAATGCTTGCCCATAGCATAATGCTGCTATCACCATGTTTCATATTTGGGATGGTGAGTTCACGATAATTGGCAATATGTTTACTGATAGCTATAGAATTCTGTATATAGACCAGATCAACAGTTCAGTTTTGATCTCTCCTGACCAGAGTGTCTTCTGCTTTATCCTTGCTGTGTTGTCTACAAGGCTTTTGCCAAACTTTTGTTTGTGAAGTATTTGACATCTTTCCTGTCAGGCTGCAAATGCACACTTATATATCCTGCTGTAGTCCTCTAAAATATATATATATAATAGATGCTGAGGTGACATTAGGGACTCTGACAAACTAGTTACACTAAAGTTTCCTCAAGAGTAAAAAGGCTAGAAGGAGCAGAAGCATGCTAAACTTTTGCAAATTTCTATGTTGAAAATATCTGAAAAACATATATCATATGTCTCTGTGTTGTTATATTGCATTAATTTTCAACAAAATAAATTTGTGTTTGCAACATGACATAATATGAAGACTTTGACACAGTAATAATATTTCTATCACCTTGTTCATATGCTAGAGTTAGCAGGGAATGGGTAAGACTTTTATTAAAGATAGACTACCAATGTGTTTTAGTTCTGACTGGAATGTAGTTGTAGTTGTCACAGTTCTCAGCAATGCAGTTGGTCTGATTTTTTTTTTTCTCACAGAAATGTTGCTTTTTGGTACAAGAAGAAAAAAATGGAACATTGATTTCTCCTCCTTGATGTAAGCCTGCCCTGTACTTTGACCTACTGAGAGTGTGTTTGGCTATGAACTTTGCCATTGTTGTGTGTCATGCTTTCAGAGAACTGATAAAAGAGTTGTACTGTGAAGATAGTACTAGCCTACTCCATGGTTAAAATGGGGTTTAATTTTTTTCAGAACAAATGCAGAGCGAGAAACATTAATAGTGTACTTTTGTTTTATAATTTAAAATGTTTTGACTAACAAAATTATGTATACTTTAAATAAGATAAATTTATTTGTGTGTGTGTGTGTGTGTGTGTGTGTGTGTGTGTGTGTGTGGGGGGGGGGTCACTTTACATAGATTTTGAAATCTCCATCACAAATGAATTGCATACATTGCATAATCTCTTTGTCATCATACTTGTATGAGATCAGATGTCAACGATGTAAGTCCTGACGTCATGTCATTTTAAAAACAGAGTAGGGTCTGTGTTCGCTGGTTTAAAAAGACTGCTGTCTGCCTAAGATTCAGCTGAACTTAGTCTTTCATCTCAGTCATGGTCAACCCCTTGTTTGCCACCCATGGAACAGAATGCTGCTTTTAGAAGCCATGCGGACACCTGCTTGTGCTGATGCTACAAAGCTGTCAGCTGCCGCTCAAAGGAGATGTCCTCTAGGACAGGGATTTTCAACCAGTGTGCCAAGGCACATCACAAGAGACTGTCATGTCTGCTGTGGGAATTGATCAAATGTCACCTAATTAACCATTGCAATTACCTGCTCCTTAGCTCAGATTATAACAAGAGGATCAGTTACCATACCTTTGCAGACGACACACAGTTTTATATCACAATGTCACCAGTTAGCAATGAACCTATCATAGCTGAAGTAATAATCAACAGACCAAAGGGGGACAGATCCAGAGTTAGCACACAGCTTTAGCTACTACAGCTAGAAACTACTGAAATCTTGGTGTCAGACCTGAATATCCAGAGCCACATAGAGCCAGTTACTTATTCAGTCTTTTCTGAGCAAAAGAACATTTCCAGTGTTACGAAAAGCTCGGTGTTTACACCTTGAAGCTTTCTCTTTACGGTTCTTTTCCTGAGAAAAGATCCCTCGGGAAAAACTCGTAATTTACATGTATTAAATAACCATTAGGCATGACAGCATGTTTGGAAAAAAAATTGTAATCTTACTCAGTCCAGAGGAGTTTACTTAGCTTAGAGTTAGAGAAGGCAGTGCTTGCCAACCGAGCTCACATCTCATTGGAGTTGCCTCAAATCAAGTTAAAGTATCATTTTATACAACTCCAGTCTGCCACATCATCATGATTACCTCATATACACTTGCAGATCAGGAGACATCCATTGCTCCAACCTTATCAGAATATTACACTTTGTTCTTAGATCAAGGGCACTGCTCTCATTCCATTCCCAAGTCTTTACCGCATACATAATGAAGATGATAACTACCCGGACAGAATAACTGTCCTAATTAGATAAACTTGGGAAAACATTAGTTCTGACTCACAAAATGCAGATATTATTAGGGTTAAACAGACTTACACATCATCCTTAGACTAATCCTAACACCAAGATTAAAGGACTAATGACCAAGTAGGCTCTAGAAAAAACAATGAATGTATTTATCTTTAGTAAAATTGGTTACTGCAACTGTGTTTGGCCATGTTCTAACTAGAACTAAGAAAGGGGATCACATCAGCCCGATTGGCAAGTCCTTACACTGGCTCCTGTAGCTCAAGGAACAGACTTTAAAATCCTTCTGCTAGTCTATAAATCACTGAATGGATCAGCACCTTAATACAAAACATATTTGTTGTCAGTATATCAACCTCCCAGATCACTCAGGTCTTTTAGTTCGAGCCTAATCTCTTCACCAGGAACTGGATTCAAACATGGAGAATCAGCATTTAGTTTTTATGCTTATCTGGAACGACCTCCAAGAGGACTGTAAAAGTGTTTTTAAGTAAAATATTATTTCACCAAATATTGTTTTATTTACCTCTTGGATTTGCATCGTGAAATGGTTTGAACACATTCTGAATGCTTTAAATTAGTTATAAGCTAATCTGACCTAATTTTAAACTTTAACATTAAATGCATGCTGTGACAGACTGGTGACTGCGGCAGAATGGTGACCTGTCCATGGTGTACCCCACTTTCCGTCCATAGACTTTTACCTGTTTGTCTATGATTTGAGCTTAGTCCGAAACTTACTTGAATAAATGACATATACTGTATCCTCCCCTTCCCAGGTGGGCACTGAATGTCAAGTTTTGCATCACCCTAATCACTTTGCAGCTGTTTCCCTTTTTTACCGACTGCACTGCACTAGATTCACCTGGTTGTTATGCCACTCATAAAAAAAAAGATAAAAAAACAATCCACTGGACTGTTTCCACTATAACCTGGATGACTGAAAATCTTCACCAGCATATGCCACTCATTAACACTCCCAGTAGTTTAAAAGTCAGTTAATCTTTCCTGATTTTTTTGCTCTCTATTATCTATACCCACCACCTGGTTTTATCTGCGCTTAGGGGGCAATAGACAGTAACTGGGAATATACTGTAACCTAAAGATAACTGTAAACAATGACTGACAAAAATAAAACTAGAGCAAAGACTAATGACTGCTGAATAGGAAAAAAAAAAAAAAAAAAAATCCCCCAGGAAAAGTAAGAGTAAGAAGTCATTCAAAAAAGATAACTCTTAAAAGTAAAAACAGAATAACTAAATCCAAGCCTAACTGAAAACCAAAAGTGAAAACTAAATAGAACCAATAATCCCAAAATTGCAGATCATAACAGGATTAGATTTAAATCAAATGGATTGATCATTTTGAAGAGTTATAATTCCAATATTTTTAATCATGATGGTAAACTGTACTGTACTTTAGTCAGACCTGTGAGCTGTAAAAGTCTCTTTGTGAATTTCTTATTATGTATTCTGCATGTGTAATGTAATGTAAAGTAATGAGCAGAAACAATTTATGCTAAAATCTGTCTTGAGATCCTTTGGAATAATATATGGGAAGGTTTTTCCATGCATTAATAAACAAATATTATTCAAAGATGCAAACTCACATTGTAAATTGAATTTTCAATCATCAATAATAATTTTTTTCTTGTCTGAAACTGTTCCTAATCTATAATGTTGTTTGAGGCATTTAACTTAGATCAATTTCCTCTTGGGCCACTAGATGTCAGTGTATTTCTGGAACATATGAATAAAATCTAACCTTCTGCTGCTGTGGGTTAAGATGTTGAGATAAATTGACAGACACAATTATTTTATATAAAAAAAAATAAATCAGACAAAGGTTTCCCTGCAGATGAAAACTATTTTAGATTCTTTTTTGATTCTTCCTTGACTAGGAAGTTCTGTA